CGTTGCTGATGAGGCCCACTACGGTCGTGTCATCAGCAAACTTGACAACGAGGTTGGATTCTGACTTGGCTGTGCAGTCGTGGGTGAGCAGCGTGAACAGCAGTGGACTGAGAACACAGCCTTGGGGGGCACCTGTGCTTAATGTGATGGTGCCTGATGTTCTGCCACCCATGCGCACTGACTGTGATCTCTCTGTCAGGAAGTCTAGAATCCAGTTGCAGAGTGGCGTGTTGAGACCCAGTAGAGAGAGTTTACTCACTAGTTGCTGTGGGATGATTGTATTGAATGTTGCTGTGGAATAATTGTATTGAATGCTGAGCTAAAGTCAATGAACAGCATTCTGACACATGAGTCTTTTGTGTCCAGATGTGATAAGACGGAGTGCAGTGTGTAGGAGTTAGCATCATCATTAATCATTAATCATCATTTAATGTGTTTGTATTTTATATACATATTTATACCTATTTTACATACATACAGTATATGTATTATATATATATATATATATATATATATATATCAATTTGGGGCAATTCTGTTGCTTTTAAATGTGCTATAGAAATACATTTTGACTTGACTTAATTATTTATATTAATTAGCCCTAGAAAACAACTGTTTTTTTTTTTTAGATGTATTGACGGACATTGATTTTGTGTGGATATATATTTATAAATTCATTATTTATTCATTTTACACTGGCGCATAAGGGGAGAGTTACTGTTCCTTCATAAAGAATTTGAAAGTTCTGTGTGACTGTCACTAGGGGGTGAAATGCAGCAATCCCATGCAAGTATCAGCCATAGTGAAAAGCTTGATGGGTATTTTTTTTTCCTTCACCTAATTCTTAGTCTCTCTGAATCTCTCAATTTACATAAAAAAAATGGTTTCCTCTGATGTTTTCTTCAAAGGTACACTATGTAACTTACAATGTTTTTTTTTGCAAGACACAGGGAGTTTCATTTATTAACTGCTAGTGCCAAAAATTACATAGTGTACCTTTAAAAAAGACTCAAACTTCTGTTATTCAACCAGCTTTCCCTATTTTTCCTATGTATTTGTCTGTCATGCCTATTTACATTAATTTCCCTTCTTTCAGACACGAGGCAGAGCGTCTGGAGCAGGAGGCTCGGGGTCGCCTGGAGAGGCAGAAGATCACAGACCAGGCAGAGGCAGAGAAAGCCAGGAAGGAGCTGCTTGAGCTGGAGGCTCAGAGGTGAGTTCACTGCGGGCTAATGCTATGCTAATGTTTGTCTGCACATTTAACGTTTTCACGGTCAATAATCAGTGTGTGTGTTTCCCAGTGCTGCAGTGGAGAGTACAGGAGCGGCGAAGGCTGAGGCACAATCTAGAGCCGAGGCGGCTCGTATACAGGGAGAGGCAGCGGTCGAAGAGGCCAAACTCAAAGCAGAGGCTCAGAAAATCGAGGCCGTATGTCATCCAGACTATGCTAGTTCTCATCTTTTTCTATTCTTACCGTTAGATTTTGACCATTTTCCTCTCCTCTGTGAGTCAGGACGCTGAGCTGGCCCGTCTGTGTAAGGCGCGTGAGCAGGAGCTGAATTACAAGAAGGAGATGGACCAACTGGAGGTACAGAAGCAGCAGAAACTGGCAGAGATTGAGAGCCTGCGCTTCAAGGAGTTGATCGAGAGCCTGGGCACAGAAACCCTGAAGGAAATGGCCCGAGCTGGGCCTGAACTACAGGTAAGTCAGCATTGGGATAGCAAATTAATCTCTTTCTGTAGTTGCTTTGCATCACAAATGTTTTATGGATGGATGTAGATTCTGTCGTTTTAATATTTTGTCAGTGGGATAAATAACCTAATAAAACATGTACCATGTTTTCTTCCAGGTGAAGCTCCTGCAGTCTTTGGGTCTGAAGTCTACTCTTATTACAGATGGCTCCTCTCCTATTAATCTCTTTACTACTGCCAATGGCCTTCTGGGGGCTCTGCAGGGCAAAGGACAGGATGAATAAATAAAAAATAGGAGAGACAGAGGTTAAGAGGCCTTATACCACTTAATATGCATGAATAAAAACTGTGATGCTGCACTCTGTTATTGTTTTCATTTTTCATTTATTACAATAAAGCCATGTAAGTGTAGCATTAGCAGTACCTTTGCTGTCTTAGTTGAACTAGCGCTAAGTTCATTGTAATATGTAATATGATATGTTTTTTCTTTACTAACACGTATACATCTTATAGACTTTACTTTGTGTTCAAGTGTCATGCTGAAATGTGCCTTAAATAATTCAGTTCAACCAAAAGAGCTTTCTAGAATGTTTTACTGTGCTTTGCTTTTTACAGCAATAAAACAACATTTAGTGTCCAATAATACCTCACATATCAAATAAAATATTTTGCATTGCTCATCAGCGCTCTTCATTTATTTCATTTCATAAAATTAGATCAAATTTTAGTTTAGACTATTTATAGTTTCGATGCTATCAGTCATCAACTGTGAGTCAAGCCCTGTGGTGTAGAGCAGCCACAGGGAGTGGGATCCCGGGAGAATGATCAAGCAGACACAGAGAGCCAGTGCACTACCATAACAGTCTCAAGTTCATTAAGGAAGATGGATCATATTTATACCACAGATTCATACAACAACATAAACGATGTCCTGGGGCTGGACATCCAATCAGAGTACTCAAAATGTGTGTGTGACCAAATGTCCCCACAAGGATAGTAAAACCTGAAATTTTTGACATGGTGGGGAGCGGCCTGCAGTCCCCACGAGGGAAAGAAATGATTAAAAATAGTAAATGATGTTTATCTTTAAGTGTTACAATGCAAACAGGTTTTCTGTAAGGGGTAGGTTTAGGGTTAGGGGATAGAAAATTTCGTTTGGTCAGTATAAAAGTAATAGAAGTCTATGGAAAGTCCCCACAATTCACAGAAACAAAGGTGTGTGTGTGCCAGTGTGTCCGAGGTCTAGTTCTCGTTTTGTCTAGGTGTGTCTGTGATGGGCACAAAACAGAAAGGCAGACAGAAGTGAAGCCCAAGAAAAAAGAAATATTAACATAAACATTTGTTGTTAAATGCGGGTTGTGAATGCTTGTGATTTAGATATTTGTCTACATGTTGGCGCTGCCATATAGTGTTTTTTATTCATTTTAATCTCTCGTTAAGCTTCTATTGAAAATGTTACATTTTAGACAGATTACCCATACGCGTTCAGTCTTTGCGAAATATTTATCAAATCCCAAATTAGAAAAAAAAATAAAATAAATTACTTCACCACTTGGAAGTAGTTCATTTGTCACGTGACATGCAATGAATTTGTTCATGAACTAGTCATCAAATCTAGTTCAGCTCAGAACACTTCAGCGGGTTTAAATACATGGGATGGATGACCTTGTGGGCGTCTGTCAACTGTGGTAAGATTTTACAGTTTTATGGACGTTTTGATACTACAAGTCTTTGTAGCTACATAGTTACGCCTGCAGGTGGCGACATTGCAAGCATTCTTCTATTTGGGTTGACCTGTTCTGGAACAGTGTTGTAAATACAACTTAACCACTGAGTTCTAGTCGTGTCTTCTTTTGGAAGGCCAAACAAAGTAGTTTCGCTTTCACAACGAAACACACAGCGTCACACACAGCGGGCTAGAGTGAGCAGAGGCCTGAGGGCTTGAGAACGGCGCGGCTGGCGGATTCGACGAAGGAGTGTCCGGCGGGCTTGCGGCAACCACATGTGACGACCCCGTGCTGGACTCTGCTTCGTCCACGGTGAAAGCCGATTCGGCGATCCACAGCATGAAGTTGATGTATTTCCTCAGCGACCAGTACTTTTGGAAGGCCAAACAAAGTAGTTTCGCTTTCACAACAAAACACACAGCACCTTCAGGACATGGCGGCAGCAACAATACTACAGCGAGAAAAAATGTTATTAGTGTTGGGTCGTTCTTGAACGATTCGTTCATTTTGAACGAATCTTTAATGTGACTCGGGAGGAACGAGTCGTCTCGGGGAGTGATTCGTTCAGTCGCGCATGCGCAACATCCTATAGGTTCTGTACTGGAATTAGTCAAGTAGTTCACCTGTTTCGAGTCTTCGGGTTTTTCCGAGTCGTTCGTTCATCACGTGACAGCCCCATAAGCTTAACCAATGCAGTCTGTGCCGGAAAGAGAATTGATTAGTTCATCTCTCGAGTCTTCGGGTTTATTTACTATTAATTGCAGAAGGTGCGCTCAGCAAAAATGACGCGAATATTGATGGTTTTCACGCTTAAGTCAAGTAAAAGACTGCTTCTTAAACCAGAGAAGGTGAACATGTTCGTATTCTTGTGGGGGGAAAAAACATGCAAGCACTGTCACCAGCAGCAAGTTTAGTTTTACTTTTCTTTTTCTTTTGTTTTCATTTTGAAAAGCTTATCTTTGCTGTTTACCTCACATTATGCTATGGAGGCTCTCTCTTTTTTCTTTATTTTTTATTCCTCAGTGTTTGCTAAATGTTCTGTGATTTATTAGTCATTATAGCCTAATACAGCGTGTAGGCCTATGCCATGCCTCATCTTATTCGTTTTTGTTAATAACGTTTTGTAAGCTAGTTTGTCATTGAATCTTACATTCAAGTTACTGAATCAAAATTCCTAACACTATGCAGAGAGCCAGTGTTGCTAAATTTAGAAACTTTTCAGACTACCCTAGCAACTTTTTCTTCCAAAAGCACCTAGCAACAAATTGAGCTATTTTTTAAATTTATTTGGCAACTTGTTTTGTATATGAAATAGTTATTTATATTTTAATATTATATTATCCATATATTATTTTATGAACAAATCTAAATTAACATATAAAATATATTTTTGCTAAGATTTGATGCAGTGACAATTTTGCGTTGTGATTATGTAACATCACAACATCATTTAGCAACTTTTAGCAACAAATCAAACATCCTTTAGCAACGTCTCCTGAAAATAAGTTGGCAGCACTGTCCAGAGCTCTCTCTCTACGAGTAAACCACCAAAAAAAGACAAACACGCACACGCCACAGAGTGGAGCACGCGCACAGGTTCACGCAGTGAGGGAGAACCGAGTCATAAACGCAGTGGATCATATGCCGACAGATCACCCCACGTTTTTACACTGATACACACTAGTATATGGTAGGATAAAGCAAGGCTTTATTTTCGTCTTAATTCTTGTGGCACCACCTGAACGTCGATGTGCAACTGTTTATTTAAATTCAAAATGAGAAAGATCCTAATTATTTTTGCAGTCATTTTGCATTAGATTAAGGTGAGTTCACTTTCGATCTGCATGCATGCTCCTGGTTTATTACGATCATTTTGGTTCTCGCATCAGTGCATCAATCGTGGCTCGGGTGCTGTGGGTGTGTCACTTTTCTTACTGCTGTTTTCTGTATGTATATGTGTGCATGCGCTGCTCTCGGTGTGCTCTATGACCATTCTCACTGAACCCGTGTGTGTCTGTTGTGTGCTTATCTCTAGACTGGTACCTCTTTGAATTTCAAAGAGTGAGACAGGTGAAAGGGAAAAGTCATTGATGTGAGATTGATTGATTATTCAATTGATTTGAGGGTTATGTTAAAAGCAACATGGCGCACGAGGCAGTGTTCAGTTAGTATATATTGTTATAAATAATAAAATGTTTTATTGTTGCAGATATGGGTGTGTCTTCTGATGCTCTTTGTTTTCTCACAGACGTTGGAGTATAGGCTATATCTAAGGCTCATGTGGACTTTTAAGTACAGCGTGTACTTTATGTAATTACTTTGTTTCTATCTGAATATGATGAATATGATTAGGGTCTTTTGTTGGTTTCATTTTGCATTTGAATAGGTGTTTTTCACAGGTGTTTCTTGGGTGTGACAAAGCTAGTTTTAAAGACCTTACATAGCTACAACATGTTGTGTAGTTTTAGGCAGTCCAGTTTTGATGGCTGCAGCTCTCCCACAACAATCTGTCATCTTTCAGATCTGTATGATGAGGCGGATGAGGATCGCACACAAACAAGGCTGTGGTCTTTATGTTTTGTTTTTGTCCCTGCAGGGTCTCAGGACAGATTCCTGCTCTGAGGGAGATTAAATGTAAGCAGGTGGACAGGTGCAGACTGACATGTTGAAAAAAAGCAGCCCCTCTTGGTTACAGTTCACTTGACAAAATGATTGACCATACCTTGGTAAATTATGGAGTAAAGAACAGATAAACATACCAAAATGTTTGTTAAAAATTTGGGGCATGACTATCTGTTTTTTTAAACAAGAGGTAGCCAGGGGTAGTGTTTTGGGAAGCTGGTTTGAAAACAGACAAATTTTCTTCAGTTCTATTTAATGTAAAAATTACTTCACCTTTAAACACGTAGATAAAGGGTACAAGTTAGGTTTTAAGAAAAAAAACTCAAGTGGTAGTAAGAAGAGTAGTTCCAGTAATTTGTTTAACATTTAAATGTTCATTTTAACATGTGTAAAGCTTAACTGTGTAGTAAATTTTCCAGAATGTAATTTTAAGATGTAACTTGGGGTCAGTAGGATTTTTCAATATTTCTGAATGTTTCTGAAAAAAAAAAAACAGTAAATTTTAACATGTGTAAAGCTTAACTGTGTAGTAAATTTTCCAGAATGTAATTTTAAGATGTAAATTGGGGTCAGTAGGATTTTTCAATATTTCTGAATGTTTCTGAAAAACAATTTATATAACGTCTTAAATATTTTTATTGTTTTTTACCCAACAGTTCTCAACGAATCAGAAACCCTAAATTTATTCGGACATATAAGCTTGATTTTGCCACACATCAGTTGTCATAAACATCTTGGGAATGGATGTGAACGCTGAGGCCAGCATTCCCACTGCTGCCCCTGGTGCAGTGGAGGAAGAACAGCAACAGCAACAATCAGAGCAAAAATCAGAGCAAGAGACCAGTCAGCAACCAGATATAGAGTCGGACCTCACCGCCAACACCTCACAGCCAGTCAAGACCGAGCAACAAGATCCACCCCCCACCACAACACCTACCCCCGCTGGAGACCCCGCCCCCTCTCAGGATGCCCCACCCAGAGATCACCTGACAGTCATCGACGAGAATATGGGAACAAGTAAATAACCCTCTCAGGATGCCCCACCCAGAGATCACCTGACAGTCATCGACGAGAATATGGAAACAAGTAAATAACTATTTAAAAATAATTTTAGTCATGCATTTTGTATCGTTTGTTTATTAAAGTTTATAGAATATTTTTCAATATGAATTCATTAAAATTGTACATTTCAGGTAGTAGATCAGGACCTGCTCATATCACCTGTCATTACCTGTCATCAGACCCCATGGCATCAAAATTAGAGTTTTGTGGCTTTAAGTCCATGTCTGCTAGCTTCAAGGTCATCTGTATGCTAGTGTATACCTAAAAGCTTAACATTTAGTAGATTCAAATTTATGAGACTCGTGACATTATCTTGCACTCACAGGCATATATATATATTTTAGTCAGCACTTCCCCTAATATCACTTGCCTCTGACTAGCAATATTACCGGTAAGTAGCAAATCTAGTAGCCCTTTGAAATGACACCCCCCACTTCCTGTTTCAATAGGAAACTTACAGTACTGTTCAAAATTTTGGGGTAAGATTTTTTAAAAATGTTTTTGAAAGAAGTCTCTTAAGTCTAACAGTGCTGCATTTATTTGATCAAAAATACAGTAAAACATTAATATTGTGATATATTACTACAATTTAATAACTGTTAATAACTATTAATAACTGTTTTAATATATCTGAAAATATCATTTATTTCTGTGATTTCAGCATCATTACTTCAGTCTCCAGTGTCACATGATCCTTCAGAAATCAGTCTAATATGCTGATTTGCTTAAGAAATATTTCTTATCATTATCAATGTTGAACACAGTTAATACTTTTGTGGAAACCATGATACATTTTTTCCCCCAAATTTCATTGATGCATAGAAAGTTATAAAGAACTGCAGCATAACCAGTTTTTGTTAATTTTATAAATGATCTCTTTACTGTCAACTTTTAATAATTCAGTGCATCCTTACTGAACAAAAGCATTCATTTCTTTTTAATAAATCATACTAACTTTTGAATGACAGTGCATTAACAAAGGAAAGAAAACAGCACTTGTCAAGGCACGGTGTCTTTAATAATCACCTTAGTCCCACAGTGATGTACAAGCTGCTCCTTCTGTCCTTATGAGAAAAATGATCTCTCAGCATTCATTTTTTTTCTCAGATTCTTTGAGTGTTAATCTTAGACCAGGAGCCAGACTGATATAAAATGATTTACAACCTCGCTCTGCTTTCACTCCCTTTTCTTCTCAGCTTTTGTACCATCCCCCACTCTCTTTTCTTGTCTGTTTTTCTCAACAAGTAGATGAGTCAGATGCAGTTCCCCTCTGCCAGTAAAAACTGAGCAGGAGATATCGGTGCCTTTAGTTTAGAAACAAACAAAAGAATTGCTTCTTTTAAAAACAGACACTCTGAAATGCAGGCTTCTAGGCGTGTTTCTCTCTTTCGCATCACTACAGGTAATGGTGTTTGCCCTGGTCCTATCGAAAGGTCTCCGAGCGCTGCTTCTCCTCCTCGTCAGCAGCACGCCAAGCCCAACCATGAGCACGCAAACGGGCGAGCCAGGCTGAGCAGCCGCTCCGGGTCAGTGAGTCACGCCGGGTCACCTCGACCGTCACTCACCCGACAGCCCAGCGCAGCCACTGATGTCGGAGACGGACCCAAACCCAACGATTATCTCATATGGGCGATTCTGGCCTGCCTCTGCCCTGTCTGGCCCATTAACATCGTCGGCTTGACCTTCTCAGTCATGGTGTGTGCTTGTGTGTTCAGGGGGTGGGATTGCTGGATACAGTTTCTGTTGAGTAAGGAGGGACTGCGATTTCACTCGTGTATGCAAGAATTATGCTACGCAGTGTACGAAAGAAACTTCTTTGCCTTTGGAGGTTCAATTGAAACATTTTTTGCTAGCCAAGAAACTGTATTTGGCATAATTCCTTCTGGTGATAATGGAATTATTTGTTTTCCTCCTTTTCATTCAACTTCTCTTCCTGCTCTCAGTCTCGAAACAGTCTGCAGCAGGGCAATGTGGATGGTGCGCGTCGTCTTGGCCAGAATGCAAAAATCCTGTCCATCGTGTCATTGGTGGGTGGGATTGTCATCATTATTATTACTATCGTCATCAACTGGGGTGGTGAGTATCTTTCCCATGAGGCCAGAGCATGTGAAACTGAATGCAAGTTTAGAGCTGACTTTGTGATTTGGATCAATGTCAAGCTGAAGCTTTAGCTCACAGTCAGGATGTGAATGAGATCTGATTACAGGTGAGATTGATCTTTGGCCTGTATCTAATGGATCTAAGTTTGTTGTTTTATAGTTTGTATAAGTAGTGATTTTCACAGGTAACCTGTTTATATGTCTGACATCTGACCCTGGACCACAAAACCCGTCATAAGAGTAAATTTTTTCGAAATTGAATAAATAAGCTTTCCATTGATGTATGGTTTGTTAGGATAGGACAATATTTGGCCAAGATACAAAGTTTTGTGCTCCAGGATCACATATTGTATTTTAAAGGTTAGATTAAGATTGAATTTTTTGTCAGTTCAGGATCTGGAATGTGACATGCACCATTTAAAAGTTTGGGTCGGTAACATTTTTTAATGTTTCTGAAAGAAGTCTCTTATACTCTTATACAAGGCTGCATTTATTTGATCAAAAATATAGTGAAAAATAGTAGTAATGTAAAATATTATTACAATTTAAAATAACTCTTTTCTAGTTTGATATATTTTAACATGGCAAGCTGAATTTTCAGCATCATTACTCCAGTGTTCAGTGTCTCATGATCCTTCAGGAATCATTCTAATATGCTGATTTGCTGCTCAAGAAACATTTCTTACTATTATCAATGTAACTGAAAACAGTTGAGCTGATTAATATTATTGTGGAAACCGTGTCTTTTCAAGATTTTGTAATGAACAGAAAGTTCAACAGGACAGCATTTATTTGGAATATAAATCTTTTTGTAACACTCTAAATGTATTTGCTGTCACTTTTGATCAATGTAATTAATCCTTTCTGAATAAAAGCATTAATTTATTACAACAACAAAAAAACCTACTGGCCCCAAACGTTTGAATGGTTTGAAAAAATACACAATGCTAAAGAACAGAAACATCACAAGCTGGCTTTGTTGTAAAGCAATATTGTTTGTTGTGTCTCTTCTTGTGTCTGTTGTAGACAAAAATGCTTTTGTGCAAAGAAATTGTGCAACTTTTTTTTTATATTGAAATGTTTATATGTGTATCATTTTTGAAGTAGGTGTTTTGTTTGAAATTCACTTTGCTTCATTCTTTCAACACCTCTTCTTCTCTTTCAGTAATACTTAAGACCTGATGGCCGTCACGACACTCAAGACAACAACCAATCCATGATGACCATTTTCTTCTTCATCTCTCTACATCTGAATGCTCCTGAATGCTTTTTCAGTTGTTTTGTACTCTATCTGAAGACTCTGAAGCTGGATGTTACATTTATCTTCTATCGTGCCAGAACTATCAAAAACAACATGGACGCTTCAGCTCTTCGAATGCCTGGAATCACGAGCAAGGCATGCATGTTTGTTTGTTTGTTTTTTTTCAACAAAGGACTCATCGTTTGAGATTATGTCAGTAAGGAGACCACACATATGATCTCATTTCATTTGTCATGCACCCCTTGAGGATGTGAGGGAGGAAAAGAATGAGAGGGAATTGGAGGGGATTTGGTTCTCGACAAAGATTAGAAGTATTTTTTATGCACAAGCTGATTTTAGTATCCCTGTTCAGAAGTGTGAATCCATAAAGACAAGCTCAGATTAAAATGTAATCGATTATATAAAACAGCAGATGGCTTCCGAGTTGGCATCCATTCACAGATGAGTCCAATTACCTTAAGAGCTGCTCTAGACACACTTTCATCTAGGCTTTCTTTTTTCCTTTGATAAAAGGATGAGCTGCACCCAGCGTTTAAACATGGGCTCTTCATTTTTGATTAGACATGATGATTTTGTCTCAAAGGATTGAAACGATGTGGAAAAACGGCACAGGAGCCTCTCTCTCTCTTTCTCTCTCTCACAATGTACAGATATTAGGATGAGGTTATCACACATAAGCAAGAGATGATGTATCAGAGAATCCTACAGATAGAGAAGGAGGGAGAGGTGAGGAGAAAGTGGGAGGGATCGAGACCTTGCCGCAGTCTTTTGTTTCACACAGATGGAGGGATGGAGAGAGAAGGAGATATGGGAGGAGAGGAGGGGGGCAGTAGCTTCAGATGAAAAGATACCCCAGAGATGGCGAGATGTAGGGAATGCAGTAGTGTTGAGAGGGATCTGAGCCGCCTCTGATTGGCTGCTTGCGTGTGTGTGTGTGTGAGTGTGAGGAAGCCAATATCGTAACGCTCGCCAACATGCCCTCCCCTCTTCCTCACAGCTATGCTCGGCCAGATCCTTCAAGGCAAACAGAAAGCAGACCATTAATTTAGTATTGTGTTTTAGCAGTTTGAGACAAAACGATGATACAAACAGTCATGTTTTTATACCGTAATGTTTACAGTAGAATCTGATACATTCAGCAGGAACACTAGGACGTTTCGACCATGACGAATCATTTTACACAGCTACAAAATGTTTGTTTGGTGGAATGATTTGTGTTGCTCAACAGAATGATACCTGAATCCTTCCTGGTCAGGCCACACCGACTGTGCCAAAATATGAGCATGCACAATTATCCAATATCAATAAAAAAAATCGAATATTGACTGACCGATATATTTTATTCCAACCAGCCGATACATTTATGTAAAAATACAGAAATATCAGTCAAAAAAATCTAATACTGACTGACCAATAAATTGATAAATTAATATGTAAAAATAGAGGAAATTAGCATGCACAATTAAATGGCCAAATATCCAGATTTATATTGATAAAACATAAATTTAAATACTACCAAACTGTACATTTAAAAGATTAGGATCTTATTGTGCATCCCTACATATGGAGTTCTTTTATAGATAAAATTACACATCCCTCATTTTCATGGCTTCGGGTCTCTTGCATGCAGAATGTGACTCTGTTTCATTGATGTTTACAGCTTTTTGATGGCGATGGGGGCACTTGTTAACTCTCTGAAATCAAGTATTCTTATTTTTTTACAATGCAAAACCTTTGCTGTGTTGCTCTTTGTAAATGTTCTGTATCTAGCGCAACATATTCTGTACCACAAACAGTATGAATGTCGATAAGCATGCTGACTCAGGTTGGGTGATGAGAGGGTGACTTTGGGTTCGGCTTGCATGACGGATGGGGCTACAATCCTCTTTTTGATACATTTCAGTTTGCGACTGCTCTACATCCCCACCACTCAAATATGAATGAGCGTAGCATGCACATTTGATCCAACCGTGTGCAATCAGTGAATGCCAGCTTGACTTTTGTTCTCTTGAATTGTTCTGCTCAGCTATATTTATATTTAACCTGCTTATGTATTCATGCTTGTCTATACATATGTATGTATATATGTGTCTGTACATATTTGTACCGCTTCCATTCGTGTCTGGTAATCTGAATCTCTTCGATGGACATGAACAGTGTTCGTAATGCGAATCTTGACTGTTAACACTGCAGTGCTTTCACAAATTTTTATTGGTATGCATTTTGAAATCGGCCCTCTCAGCGTACAGAAAGTCCGCGGCCATTTGTTTTGTATGCCGTTTGTGCTTTGCTAAAACTTTGACCTTACAAGCATGTTTACACACCGATTACAGATCGCCTATGCTGCACAGTGCAGTTCTATAAAGAAATGTTTCAGAGACACCAGCCGAGTCAATTCTCTGGGTTACAAGTTCTACCTGCTGCTCAAAGTATCTATTTATCGATGTGAAGAAATATAATGTTTTTGTGTTTATTAAACATTCCCTTACAAATTCAACTGCATTTTGGTGAAAGCACCTGTGCTAGTCAAGACGTTTCCTCTGTGACATGAAATGATTTGGGAGGCATTATGATAACTCTTGTTGCTAATATAATCCTGATTTCATGCAGATCTGCTTGTGCATGGCTTAATGAATTGCTTTGGAACAACAATATGTGATGTACACTGTATCTAAACCGAAGCGTTTGATAGATCTTGCGGTATTGATCCTTCTTCTGCTCTGTACCGACACTGATTATGCATCGTTGAGTCCAGTGAATAAACTGTCTCTCATTATGCCACTCCTGTGTGTTCATTCTCTGTCATTATAAACACATTTGAGGCTCCGTGTGCCAGCCGTTAGGTCTCAGTTAAGGGCTTTTCACACTTTTAACCCTGGGTTATTGTCGTTCTAATCCCACTTTTAATCTGGGTAAAGGTAGAGTTCACACTTGTAATTTAGAAGCGGGGTGAGCACTGCTTTTTAACTGAGGTTATGAAACCCTGCTCCAGGGCAGGCTTAGCACTGCTTTTGTGGTGTTGACCCACATTGTGGTGTCAACTTAATCAGAGTGAAACACTGCTGTTAGAATTTTACGACCAGGGCCGTAACCACCATAGACATTGATGGGAGCAAGAAATGGCCAAAATTAAAAATGGCCAAACTGTCTCCCCCAACATTTTAAATTCTTCCACTGTTCTGCTGCACGTAATTATGCATAAAGGTCTATTTTAACTTTACAAGTTACATTTTTAGGCTGGTGTGTGCCTCAGCTGTCTATGAGCGCTTGCCAGTGTCAAAATGATTGAGATGGCCAATCAAATTAAAGTAGGCAAGGTTTATTGTTCACAGAACTAGAATCCCAGTGTGAAACTTCAGTTTTAACATTGAATGAAAGCAAGGTAAGATGAAAGTAGCAAAACGCAAAACGTTTATAATAATATCCAGTGATGCAAACTACTTAATTTTTTTGGAAAATATGGTATCATTTATGTGACTCCAGTCAATGACACTGACAGCGCAAATACACAATGTTAACCCAGGTTTTAGGATTTTACAGTGAGAAATAACAGTGTATGAATAATTCATTGTTAACCCTGTGTAAATTATCAAGCAAGATAACCCAGGATTCTGTTTATCCAGGGTTCAGAATGACCCAGGGTTAGCTATTTCAAGTTGGAAAAGCCCTTATATATTGTTTAGTCGTTCCTCACAGGACACACTCTTTCCCTCTCTGCTGTTTCCTTGCTCCCTCAATACCGCACATGTCTCCAGGACGTTACAGTTTCCAGGGCAACGGTTGGTAGGCGAGGAGGACAGTGAGGGACCGGGGTGCAGCAGGATAGGGAAAATGAGAGCGTGCGCTCAGACTTCACTGGTGTGTTTAAAAAATCTATCTCATTTGAATTTTATAGCAGCATGCATTATTAAAAGACTCTGGAGGAGTGGAGACGGTGAGAGCAAGTGTG